GATGAACTATTAGAGCTGAAATCAAAATGCTCAATAGCAATAGTATTTTTACTTTTTTTTTGGAAGCACCACCTGCTGTTTTACAATAACAACCGTTTTTTTCCAGAAAAAGCAGAAAACTCGATTCTTTTTTCTTTTACTGAGTGCAAATTTGTTGTCTATAAAAGTTCAAAAATACGCACAAGTGCTATAAAAACAGGCTTTTTTTTTGAAGAATTATATGAAATTATAAGAAAAGTGGTACTTGCGAAAAAAGCAAGCGATTGCATCTGGCCACGCTTGAAGAGGTGGCGCTCATGCATCAGGTAACTGGATGTATGCAGTTCAGGATGATAGCAACTGCTATAATTGCACCCGTCCTGCTCGGGCATCCTAGCAACGTTACTTTCATTGGATGATCATGCTGAATGTTTGGGTGGTTTTGGCCTTGGTATGAAAAAGATAAAAAAAAAAATAAATCGCTGAGAGAAAAGTTGGACCAGGAAGCCGTGGCATAATCTGATCAATTTTGCGAAGTGCTAAAGCAAGAAAAATTTCAGTTTAGCTATTGGCAGGAAGAAGTTGACACCGAGTAAGAAGAAGTGAATTTTTCTGGATGACTTCTGAATGATAATAGTGTCCACAAAATTACCATAGCAAATCGAATTGTTGGTGTTGAGTACAGCTCCAGCGTTACTAGGATGCGCCCATAAGCAATGCATAGCTATACCAGGCCAAATTTTTATCAAAAACAGAGCGTTTCCAAATCATCCTTACTACATAAAAATTGGCATTTTGTACTTATGCAAACGGCTGTTTTCTTCCTTGCTGTTTCCACTCGCTAATTCTCATGTTGTCAGCAAAATGAGAAAAATGCCTTGCCCACTGGATTTTTCTTTCTCCGCTTGATCACGATGAAATCCTTAATCTGTTAATGCATGTTCGTGTGGATATAAAGATTTCACGTGAAACGCAATCTGGCTAAGTTATTAACAGCATACAAAAAAGTGGTATTATCCTAAAAATCGACAATCAGCTTCACGAACATGTGCTACAAGTCCAGGCCAACGGATTTTTGGAGCTTTGGTGAAAATCGAGTTGCTCATGATCGAATCCATATGGCGCAAGATCAAATTCGTAAAGTTTGCGATAATTGTCGAATGATCTGCGGTTTAATCCAGAATGACTATGGTTTTAACGATGATCATCGCAATCGTAGTATCACGAGCTTCGAAACCAACTCGGCGATGCATCAATCGCGATCGATACAACTAACATTTTTTGCAGCAACATCATCCTGAATGCCACCTGCCCAGCTGATTACTTCTGTAATACATAAGAAATTGAAATAAAAATAGGCTATTCAGTTAAAAAGAATGAAATCAGACCTGCCAGAATCGTTTGTTTGTACCAATTTTGCTTATGAATAGGATAATTCATTGACGGTAATGCTCCACTGCGAAAGTATCGTTTTTTTCAATGTTAAATTCAGTCTGCATTCGTTTTTGGGCGTTTAAACTTTCAAAATATTTCCAAAAGAACTATTTAATTCCTAAGACCTTTAAAAAGATTTTTTCCAGATTAGAAATAAACCCATCTAGTTCAGGGTTAAATTTAATGCTGTTTCTTTTTCTTCCAAAAAAAAAATTATCAAAATTGCTCTTTTTAAAAGCAAGCTATGCTCATCTCGGGAAAAAACAACTTTTTTTTTGCATTGTCTCATAATTAAAGGCTCAAATACAGACTGAAGTTGTTTTCCAATAGAAAAGACTGCTTATCTGAAACACAGATGCATTCTGCCAGAAGTATAATCAAAAAAGTACCATGTAGCGATAAAATTAATTCGGTATATTTCGCCGTATCCATTCAATGTAAATCAAAAACAAACAAGTGCTTCGGTCTACTGGCGCATGAGGTATCATTAATTGCAGAAACTGTAATATTATTAAAAACTACTGTGCAGTAGTATCATTGAAATCTGCTGCTGGTACCAATTACTTCATAAAATTCGTACGAGTTCCTCTTCTTCCCTCACCGTCGCTCTCATCCCTTGTTTTTTTTTTTTTTGGATACGTCATTCAGCTGAAATCTTCTACACGCTGTATTCGACCGAGGAGGTTTAATGGGGCGAAGAAGCGGAGCAAGCCTCACTATCGTTTATTTCCGCCTAAAACTGGTTGCTAATATAGCTGTAGTAATTTAATGTTCACAAATTCAAAGGACCCATTAACCCACATTTAAGATGAGCACAAATAAACTGCTGTTTTAAGAACACAGGGCGTTAGAAATAACGGAATAGTAATAAATTTGCTTGAAATTATTATAGTTTTTCAGGAACCGTTAACAACTGAAGATTGTCTGGGAATCTCGGGTTACAGCATGGTGAGCGAAGAGATGGTGAGTGTGGAAGAGGGAAGCTGGAGGGAGGCGAAATACAGCCGAGGAGCGAGGGACTTTTTAGTCCGGATGAGTAGACAGGCTGATTTTTCATGCAACCTGTTTGATTTTTTATCCATAAAATAAAAATGATTTAGCAAAAATTTTATTAATTTTCTTTGTTTGACCCACATTTTGAGCTTATAAAAGCTCGCATCTTTAGCTTACAACAATAGCATTCATCGACTGTGCATTCACTTTTCTTTGATCCCTAACAAACGGCATATTTTATTTCATATGTTACTTTTTAACAAATGCAGCCTGCTAGATAGTACTCAATGAACACCATTCAAGCCCACCACTACATACAGTCCAAGGATGAAACATAGCCAGAATTTACAACATTCAAAGTATCCACTTACAGAATTCCAGATTTCAGATGATAAAGTTCCCTTGGAGTAAGAGGTCAGAGCTGATTCGTCTTTAAAACCACTTTTGAGTCTAAAATATAATAGAAAAGGTAAGAATGCAAAAATCTAAAGTTGGTTGCCCGTGTGTGGTAAGTGGTGGTGAACCATGTTCCCAAAATTTCAGCCTCCCAGCTACAGTGTTTCTCCACTAGAATTATTTAGACAAAAACACTTATACATTCTCTTGCCACACTTGAATATACTGGAACAGCTGTAATTCATAGCTTGCATATCAGGCTAGGTAAATGGCAATTGTTCCAGTTGCTTTTGACCAATGTTGCATCACCTGTTGGTCAGCCTACTAGCGATCTTGGCCTTCCTTTAGTCTTCTGAAGAGATTACCAACTTCCGACAGAAGCACTTTAGCTCAACTCTCGACAGAAGCACTTTGGCAAGGCTTTAGCCATTTGGAGATGTTATTGGTCTCAAACTTAGACCACAATGAAATACCGCATCGTCCAGGTAAAGGAATGTTCTTTTGCCATTATGCACTTTAATTTATGAGGATACGTATAGAAACTATACGTCTCACTAAAACCTTATAACTGCAGCTTATTTGAAGAATTCATCGGATACTTAAATCGCAGTGATGGTTTGCCGGATAGTGCTCCTTCTGCTGTTCTCAGTGATGGTAGTACCAAACACTGCTTCATCAGACTGGTGGGACACTCCATGGCAGCACCACAATGAACATTTCGAATCACACAACGAACTGTTCGACGAACATCATGGATTAAATGAATTCCACGGCGGATACCATGAACTTGATCATGGATATCCTCATCGATGGGTCAGTTGGGCCTGGGAATGGTACTAAGGCCAACAAAACTTGATATTTGATGATTTTGCTAGTGATAATGCTTGTTTTTAATAAATTTGTTTAATTACATTTTTTACCTATCTAAAATTCATGACAAAAGTCGTACCGCCAAGCAGAATTCGCGGAAAGTCGTAGTCGTACCTATCTTTCTTGCGTTTTCAAAAAGCAATACTTTTCTAGTATCCAAAGCTTCTTTCATAAACAAAGCACGTTTTTTAGTTTTTACCGGGTTTCCGCGGGATTTCCAAGACAACACTCGAAAATGTTCCAAGTACCGGCAAACTGTCAGTAATAGACAGCCGCTGTTGATGGATAATGCAGAACCCATTATTAGAAGACTGTCGAATAAGCACGCTGCATTCGAAAGCCAGCAATAAACCACCGAAATGAATTTACAAAAGTGTAGAAGACTTGTGCTAAGTGTCAGAAAGCCACAGATTTTTTCGAAATGAAGCTATTTTTTCATATATTTTTCTTTAATAAGATTTTTTGCTTTGATTTTCTAAACATAAACAACAGGATATCCAAAAAAAATCTGCCCCAAATATCTGTTTTTGATTCTCAGGCGGTCATGGTATTTAGCATGATACAATATAATAAAGCTTGTGTATCTGCTGCAGACTAGCAAATGGGACTGAGGTGAAAGTTGTGTAAAATGAGGAGTTTTTCAAAGTGAAGCTTTGTTCAGGGATAGGTGAGCGGGAGTTGGTTGGGGTTGGAAGAATGGAGCTGGAATGGGGAAGCTGGAGATTGGAGGAGGGAGGGATTGAGGGTTAGGAGAGGGAGGGATTCAGGGAGAAAGAGGAACTGAGGGCTAGGAGAGAGAAAATTGGAAGTTGGGAGAGGAAAGAATTGAGGGTTGGAAAAGGGAGGGACTGAGGGTTGCGGGGGATTGGGGATAGAAGGGGAAGGGACCGGGCTTGTCTGGTTGGTTTATCGTTCTCTAACTCTTCCCGCAACGTTCCACCCCTTCCTAACCTCTCGCGATCCCCAGCCCTTCCCGCAATCCCCGCCCGTCCCGCGACTCCCAGCTCCAACTCCCAATCCCCTAATCTCTCTCCAAACTCCTCCCGCCCCCTCTGAACTCTCAATCTCTCCTCTCTCCCACCCCCAGTCACAAGTCTTTATATTTCCGTTGAATTATTTCTTTCCCTAATTCTAAAGCCCTTACAGGGTCGTATTAGCTAACTACGGAGATCTCGAAGCCTCGATAACGGTCGCTAATGTCTAGCGGAGACGACAGCGTATATTCTAACGCTAATGGGCGTTGTTCCGTACCAGCCGAAGAAGCTGCAGGGGTTTGGTTTGGCCAAAGCCAGGGAGTCTGCACACTTGTGTTCGAGTGCTTCACAGATTGCTGCAGTCGCGATGCCCGCAGTCGC